GAACTTGAATATCTTACAGACTGTTTCCCTTAACTTTTCTATTCTTGTTTCTTTTTGCTTTGCCATTTTAAAGGGAGTTGTTTTCCTGATTTTAGTTGCAATATATATTTGTGCAAGCATACGTATGGAAACATATAAAATTTCTCCTTATACATGTGACTAGGTTATACTGTGAACTTGAAATGTTTTCTGTCATCTTACATTGACCCATGTTGTTCAAATTACCATATTTTCTAAACAGGTAATAAGCAAACTTGAACGCCGAACTGTAGCCTACCATGAATCAGGTCATGCTGTTGCAGGGTGGTTCTTAGAGCACGCAGAACCCTTGCTGAAGGTGACCATCGTTCCTCGTGGCACTGCAGCACTTGGCTTTGCGCAGTATGTCCCTAATGAGAACCTTCTCATGACTAAGGAGCAACTTTTGGATATGACATGCATGACCCTTGGTGGACGTGCTGCAGAACAGGTCACTGCATTATTTTCTTGATTTTGTCATAGTTCTTATTGAGAAAATGATAGAGATGTATCAAGGTGGTTAATTACATATAATTCTGTGGCCTCGAAATATTTTTCTTGTTTTCTACTCTCTTTCTTCTCTATAAAAACTGACTTTTTTTATTTAATTCTTATTTGTAGTTCATTTAGTGTTAAACAAATTGAACTCAATGCAGTTACGAGTAAACATCTTTGTTACGACAATTATGACCATTCACTTATGAGGTCAATTTTTCTTTGAGGTTCAGGTTTTATTAGGAAAGATTTCAACTGGAGCCCAGAATGACTTGGAGAAAGTGACAAAAATAACATACGCTCAAGTTGCAGTGTACGGTTTTAGTGAGAAGGTGGGTCTGCTGTCTTATCCTCAGAGGGAGGATGGGCTTGAAATGAGCAAACCTTACAGCAGCAAGACAGCAAATCTTATTGACACTGAAGTACGCGAATGGGTTACCAAGGCATATAAACGCACAGTGCAATTGATAGAAGAACGCAAAGAGCAAGTGGCTCAGATTGCTGAGTTGTTGCTGAAAAAGGAAACTCTCCACCAAGATGACTTGGTCCAAGTACTCGGTGAACGGCCTTTTAAATCAGATGAGATGACAAATTATGATAGATATAAGCAAGGATTTCAAGAGGAAGTGGAAAAAAGTGCAGACAGTGTGGAGGAGATGACAACAGAAGATGACGGACCTTCACCTCTTGTGCCCGAGGCAGTTCCCATGTAATATATTCTGTTTCGAATGGAAAGCATGACGTGTTTTCCTCTAGCTGAGGGCTGTACAATCTGTTATATCAATGGTTCGCTATATAGCATTATTCAAAATTGTGTCACTTAAGAGATGCGTCTGTCATGTGCAAGTTTCGTAAGCTTGGGGATGTAAATGTTCTTTCTCAAAAGTTTGAGACCAATGTGCAACGGTGAACAAAACTTGAAGAGTTTTGCTGTTAACTTCCTTGACATTTCAGTTACTTCTCTTTTTTTTTTTTTTTTTTAAGAGACACACACAGTTCAATGTTGCTTTCTTTTACCAATTTTTGCACTAGCTTAACTTTAGAGAAAAAGAAAAGGGGGTTCCCCAACCTATTGGTCTTGTCTCAACTTGGTCTGTAACACAATTTTCATGGCACTGCCGTCCCGAATCCATCAGTAATCGAACTCTAACAAATTTAATTGAGTAGTCATATTTAAACGAATACGAATAAAGCAAAAATGTCAAAGCTATTCAGTAAAGTGCAAATACTTGAAAATATTATTTTAAAAAAAATAAAAAAAATCTAACCATGAGAATGCTCAAGATTTTTTACTTGATAAACCGTAAGCATCCACTCTTCAAATCTTAATCCTTGTCTCCTGCAAAACCTTGACACCAAACAGCAGCGGACTGTGTGATATATTGTAGAAAGGGAGAAACATGGGTGTACTATGATCATATTAACTGCCAATTAATCACAAGCACCAATAGAACTTTCTTCTTCAATCATTCTTATACAGGCAACATGAGAGAGCATATGTTACGAGTCCTTTCCAGCGTCCAATTTCTATCCCCATCTAGCAGAAAATCATCCTTGTAACTTGTCCTCAACTTCGCCTTAACATCTTTCACAATATCCTGGTTTAGTGGGAGCTGCCATTTCTTTTATGTTTCAGGTCGTACTATCCTTTCGGGTACTACACATGCTATGGCATTCAGTACATACTTCCCGAGTTCTTCTCTAATACAACAATTTTTCTTGATCTTCACGGGAAATTGTCCAGTACAGCATATCGAAAAGTAAAGAGTAATGGTATATTATCTTCCTAATCTTGTTGAACGAGGCATTGTATGTCCCATTAACAATTCCGTGGACGAAAAGACTGAGATTTATCGTACCCTTGGGCTGTCAAGTCCAGCTGATTCATTGGGCAGACGTCTTAGTGACACGGGCCAACTCTCCAATTCTCACATCGAGACAATCTTTTGCACCCATGGGCAGTAATCGAATGGATCCGATAATTTTCATAACAAAGCTAGACATGACATGTATATTTCGCCCACAAAACTCACTAGCGTGTAAACGCCTAGACGCATCTCTGTGCTGCACTTGGTGACAAAGCACTTGCCTATTCACATTACACATCTAGCTTGCCTGCATGCTCATGCGTAACATACGATATACTCGCTGGAAAGGAGCTCAGGGTCAATCACGTGCCCCCCACATTGCAATCCTTATTCTCGTCACTTTCTACAGGCATTTTAGCTTAATGCTTGCTGTCATGCCCTTCATGGCTTCATCAGTGCCTAACCCAAGTAGATCTGTTAATCCACGACTATTAAGAAGTGTTTGCATAGCATACTCGTTCCCATATATCAACATCTTACAATGTTCACCCAACTATGTGGCTTCGTCCCAGGATCGCATTTCTAGACAACGGATCCCGTGGCAAGGCTAGAACCCTTAGCTAATGCACACAAGTTATCAAACAAGGCCCTTAAGAGTTCTTTCCTCAATATCTCATTCGTCCCTAGAGTTTTTATTGAATCCTTATCCTAGCCACCGAAGTAGATTAATTTTCTATTGATAACCTCAAGAACCCTCTTGATGCTCAATGAAGGCCACAAAATCCTAATGCTGCTAGATGGTTCCCGACCCAATACGAGTATATCCATCCTTAGATGCCTAAAGTAGGTCCTTAGTTGTCTATGTGGGCCCTAAAGATTGCTCTTTTAGTGCGTAAGGATGCTTGCAGGTTGCCCTTCAATGGGGGCAGAAGCACGAGGAAGGTTGGTTGGCTGCTCACCAAGCATGCCTCCTTATAATAGATTAAGCAAGAATAACCAAATGGTACTTATAGAAGTCTATTAATCGAGGAATCATGATTTTGGTATATTGACATGATGCATATAGGCTATGTTGACCCCAAAAAGTGTGCCAACAGATGTCGGTCCCACCCTCGCTTGCGTGGGCGAATGTCCAACACGCTAAGACACGTGGACGGTCTAAAACGAGATGTTCAAAGGGCGTGGGAGTAGCCCAACAACGCGGGACGGTGACGTTCGGAATCCGACGAGTTGTTCGTAATCCGATTGTACAATAATTACCAACCGGTGTTCATAAATGTATATGTAAATGTGTATAAACTTGATTTGTGTATTGCAAGTGAACTGAGAGAGTTGAGTAAAGGTAGTTCTTTGTATTGATTCTTGCATTAGTCTTTTGATATCACACAAGGAAGTATTTATAGTAGTACATATGAAATGGGAGCCCTTGGATGAAGTGGCACGTGGCCTCATCTCTTTAGTTTAAACATCTTTTCTTAGGTATGGGGCTTGACTTGCTAGCTTACGGCGCATTTATTGCTTGTGCAGGGCCTCCATGCTAGTGACAAGACTTAACCTTCATTCTTATGACAAACGTTCCATCAATCATTCGAATAAGATCTGTGCAGGCGATCTTTTGGGAGAAGTGACCATGGAGGAGGTTTCTTTGTGGTTCAGAGGCTCGCGCATCAGCTTCGGGGCTTCGGCCATTTGTCATGATACTTCCACTTGAGGGCCTCAGTTGCTCTCAACAGGTTCCTACAGCCTGGCTTCGGTTAGTAGGCCTAGGACAAAAGGGAGCCTCGGCAGATGGACTTTAGCTCGACGCAGTTCGGATAGCCCCACCTCGACATTGTGTGCCACCTCAGCAAGAATGCCACGTGGATCGCCATGATTGGCCCATCGTCCAGGTAGGTTGGCCAGGTGTGACAACACGCAACAGGCTACATTCTAAACAACGAGTTAGATCACACTCAAAATTATGTCTAAAATTAGAAAAGATGGTGCTATGTTTTTAAGCATTTCATTTGGAAGAATGCTATCTACAATATCATTTTTATTTAGTCTATGCTTACCTTCTCACTCTGTATTGGGTTGTACGGTTAGCCTAAAAATATGAATTTAAAAAAATACACACACTAACCACTTTAATACTATCCACATAATATCTACTCTAATTTTATACTTAATTCTTTATACAGCCTGTTACCAAAGACAACATCTATGAACTATAATGTGGCGTATGCAATGCATGCATATTTACAAGAAGGGGCGCAAGTCTTACACCATTATGCTATGATGCTAAAGAAGGATCGTTTCTTATTTTGCGCCAAAGCAATTTATAAATCCGTGGCTAAAACAAGGTGAAATCAAAGGGCATTACTTAAATGCTACTACGGGTACATGCGAAGAAATAATCAAAAGAGTTGTATTTGCTAAGTCATAATGGGGAGGGCCAAAGACTTCGCTCAAATGAAACGGGGGGCAGCTTTCTCATCAATAAAATGAAAGGCTGCTTCTATTCGTAGGAACAAAGAGAAGCAAATTTATTCTATACCCAATAAGTACCAATACGCAATGGATGGTTGATACCATTTTCTATCAGTAATACATGATCATGTAATCATAGATTGATAGGATTTACACATAAACTAGCTACATAGTTGAGTTGGATGACGTGTCTCCCGAGTCCAGATCGAATAAAACAAATTGAAGGTTTTCAAAAATAAATAAATGATTAGAGTTCATGCTTCAAAATTTACAAGCAAATGAACTTCTCAACCAATATAAAGAAACACATAAATCTAGTAAAGGAACTTGACATCAAGAAAATGCCAGTCTCCTTGAAAAAATTTCTACCAGCAAAACACTTTACTCTGTCAACAATCTAAAAAATGCCATCCCTCCTCACAGGAAACAAATCACTGCAAGTCGAAACTACTACATAAACTACTGTACTTCTATTACACGACAATTTTTTTTAAATAATAATTATCTTTAATCACAAAAAAATAATCAGAATATCGCGCTCTAAGATCGCTTAGTGTTCCTTCTACGGTGATATGCTGCCAGTTTTCTACAGTGAATCGTTCAGAGAAGAAGGCAAGTCTCGGATTGAGATTTGAGCTGTTGCTTGACTTGCTGTTGGGACCAGAAAGCATGGGCTGTCAAGACTCTATCGAGGAGTTCCTGAGGCACAGGCTCTCCTCGTCTTTGCTGAGGGGAGATTCTTGCTGTGTGCTCCAATGTTTTCCACTTGTCCTGAAAAAGAGTTGTGTACGACGAATGAGGATAAGGAAAAACTTGTGCTGCTGCTTTCATTCCAACCAAGACCCCTTAAAGGTTCTAACACATAATAGTCAGCAAACAATTAAACCACCGATTTTTATTGAAGACGAAACCAAATTTAATGGAAGAAAACATGGAAAGAGTGACTTGAGTTTCAAAATCTCTAATTTAGGCCTCTAAATAATGAGAAGGTTGCAATTTATATGTTAGAAGAGTGGAAACATTTTCTTACCTTCAAATCCACATAAGTTCTATGTTTTGCATTATCAAAAGCTCTCAGCTTAACATCACGCCATCTGCAGAACAAAAGTAAGTGAAGAAGAAACTATGGATACCAAAAGAAAAGAATGAAAAATTGCCAGAGAATATAACTTGTGGATATAGGATCAAGACAGGAATCTTGAAGCATACAACTTTTATCTGAACTCTCAGGAAGTAGTTTGTTTGTAGAAAAATAATCATAATTTTTTTTTCCCATAATTCTATAGTTAGGTCATCACACATGCATGTGCATAGCTTTTTGCACAACTCCACACTAAGGTTTGACCACATACCTTCCTGTACCAAGCTTCTCAACTGCCTGAACCAGTGCTTCCACTTCAGAAACAGTGAACGGTCTACGGATTCGGCGCTGCGCTGACTCAGATTGCTTAGACTTCCTCATGGGAACCATAGCCAGTGCCTCCGCTTTCATGGGGCGGACAGAAACCAGTGCTTTTGAGTCTGTTGTAGTTTTTTCCAAAGACATATTGGGAGGGAAAGGAGCTGAATCACGATCACTTTCAAAGAAATTGCATAAATTAGTTCCTCTAGGATTTGACTGAGTATCCAAATTACAGTGCGGATGAGAAATTTGACCCACATTGGGCATTGGAGGATACCTGGAGGAAAAGCATAATAAACTATCAGCAGCAAGACAAGACTGACGTGGCTATATTGATACCCCAGGAGAACATCATCATCCATTGGACAGCATAAGAAACAGTTGTGAAAATATGTAGTTAAAACATTTGTCAGACCAGAAAGAAGCAGAATGCATGTCTCCAACTTTAGCATATGAAAAATCAAACAATTATTTGACCAGCCAAGTAAAGTAAATGCTTGTGTGCGACAACGATAATACCTTGCTAGTGGTTGGGGAGTATCACAAGGAAGTTCAAAACTACAATCTTCTAGACACAAGGGAGATTGAGTAGGGGTGGGCTCGAGGGTAAAGCCCAGAGAATCCAACTTCTTGTTATCATGAGAAATCCCAGTCTGCAACAATGTTTTGTTATCGTCTCTAATCTTCTTTCCCTGAAGAAGTACACCAACATGTAGTCCACCACCAAGTATTGCTGTCACTGCTTCCATAACTGTCCTCTGCATCAAAGCAAGTAATAATGTGTTATATTACTGAAACTGTTTGAATGTGAACTATATTAGTTGTGATGAAAAGAACTGATTGTAGAGGTAAGAGATTCAGAACGTCAAGTTGATCTCACAGACTTCCATGCAAAACCTCCTTATTTGCACATCACTTCTACGTCCTATTTGACCCATATTTTTCCAAAAAAATACATTCTTAAATAGTGATTTTACATCATTTCAACCACACATTCTTCAATAAAATAATATTATACGCAACTCCAAAACTTTTCCTTATTTTTTAATTTCACATTTCCCATCAATACACTATTCACAAATGCATTCTCATGGAAATACTGTGGCTCCTAAAACAGGGTTTGATAGAAAGTACGACATGCCATATCATCAATCCAGAGAATCATTACTTAATAATTGCACAGTAATATTTCTCCAAACTAGTAAGTTGGAATTGAAAAGCTAAAATTTCTATAGAACACCCTGAACTGATATTCAAATACCTTAAGAGAACCAATGGTTGCAGATTCTGGAACCTCAATAAATAGCTCTGGAACCCTAAAAGACTTGATCTTGAGCTTCACTGAGTTAACGAAAAATATCTCGAAATGAGAACCTCGTTGAATGTCTGACATTTTTCGAGTCATAAAGAGTAAAAATGATTTACTCCATGAATTGCTCTCTTACCATGGGAATTCCTGGACTGGAAGGATGCACGTTCACCACGTAAAGAAGTTGGAGCCATTGGCACTGCATTTGGTGTCAGATTAACTAAGCTGAAGTCAATCATCTCGGAGAAAAATTCAAGAACATACACTTATTGATTGTACAAGTGTGTAGTGCATGCTGATGAGAAATAACCTGTGGTTAGAGATGGACCAGAACCAAGTGCACCACCGCCATAGCCATACTCAGGCACACTACTTATTCCATCGCTGCTAATTCCTTCATCAGAATTAGACACAGAGCTGCAGTCAAAAAACTTCCTTTTTTTGAAAGGATAATCTCTTTGAGATCTCTTGCGCTTGTAACTGTTATTCCTATTGAGGTAATTGCGTCTTTCTGCATCTGAATACATGATAAAATCAAAATGATTATGCCATACAGATTGCTTGACCATATCTATCACTCAAAAAGTGACCATATAAACTAATATAATCAATAACAACTCACGAGGATCATAAGGATCCTTATCCTTCGAATTTGGAGTTGGTTTCCAATATTTAGATGGCAACAACTTCCTAGTTCTGCAATCTCCAACATGTGGTGGAGGCCTAAAGGCCTTATTCGTGGTGCTTGGTTTTGTGCACCCAGAATAATTTTCGTCATCATCTTTAGTAACTAACTTTACACCATCCTGCTTAACAGGGAATGATCCACAAAGAATTTGGTCTCTGCAAAAGGGAAACTTTTGACAATCAGGTGAACTAACTAAAGTAGAAGGTTTTCTGTCCCAAGTGTCTGAACGACCCACATTGCAAGTATCAGCCAGATTATTAATTGCCAAATTCCTATTATTCGGGGTCTCAATTTTTATCTGTTTCTTAGTTTCACCCTCTGATCTACAAATAGAAGACTCCACATCTACTGGATGAGGAAAAATTCCAAGTCGAAGCTTGCAATCATTATTGAACATTGGCTCTGCAGAACCAAACTTTTCTGAGCTCTCGGAAGTTATTACAGACGCAGGCCTTGAACATGCATCGTTCTGGCCACGTGCAAGTTTATGTGCATGAAAATTTGAATTAGGAGCTTGTGAAACAATCTCAGTAAATAGAAAATTTCTTTCACAGCTATCTTGTTCAAAAGATTTTTCTTCCAAAGGCTTATTTTCATCATTTTTTCCTTTCCTGTCAGAACTTTCCACAACTTCAGTTTGCTCCTTATCAGAAGATGTATCCACAGATTTTGGAGAAAATCTCCCCTCCAGCAATAACTTGCCAGCTACAGTAGCCAATAAGTCAAATGCACACATCTTCTGGACATAATCTTTCCTCCTAAATTCACACCTCCTCTGAAACAAATGACAATGAAACAAGCGTCAATAGAGTAAGTTCTTCAGAACCACAGGTCAAAATAAATAAATAAATAAAAATAAAAATAATAATAATGGAATTCCATTAGCCATTAGGTCTGGGATTACCCTTGCGGATCTGGCAGCGCGTGGTGTGGGAGGCACCTGATAGCCATTAAATCCATAATCTAACCTCTTAAGCAGCACCATATTTCAGAAACCATACCAAAAAATTTCATAAAGTAGGAATCTTTGATGTTCTCTAATCTAGTTTACAATCTAAATTCAGTATCAAGGTTCATCCAAAAGTCTCCTATGACAGAAGACTCAAGTACAGCCAATCCTGCAAATGAGCAAACATCAGCAATGTAGGTAGCTGAAAACAATATATGAAGTTAGGGTTGTTCTATTTAACGATATCAAACTGGGCAAAATGGTAACTACGGAGTAACATGATGGATGCCATGTAGTTGAAACCATTATGATTTATCTTGTACCGTAGTTTAACCGATTGGACAACATGCAACAATTAGGTAAGCCAAGTAATCACAAAGAGAAACATAAGCGACAATCACAATCTAGCGTAGATATAACGATTAAATGGAATCATAAATTAAACTTACGGCAATCAAGAATCCGCAGTCATTACCTATACCAATATCAATATAACTCCAGCATGTAACGCAAAATTTATTTTAGTTGATAAATGATCCATCATTAATAATCATAAAGTTCCAACTCAATGCCAGGAGATAGCTTCATTGTAAGTTATCCAGAATTTATAAAGAAACCAAAATGTCTTAAATGGACAATGTAACCATAAAATCCGATTCACTGCATACCTATCAATATTTCCATGAAGACTTCTCAGATGACAAATTGCCATGAGATCCAAGATCACATGCTAATATTCTAATATTTCAGCAATAAAAAATTTATTTCCAATTTTCCCTAACTTGATATATGCTTACTATCTACATGACCAAAGATATATCAGATCAATGAGATCGCTGATCCAAATAAAGTCAATACATCTATGTGGAAGAATATAACAAAAACATAAACTCTTCAAAGAAGAGTGTACATAGACACTAAATTAACAAAAATTCAAATGATGATCAATTTCAAACAATTCCAAATACGTTAAATCTTTCCATTAAAGGGAAAGCAAACGACTGAATTAACGAGGGAAACAAAGAGTTAAAACCCCTCAATAAACCCTGATAGAAGGGATCTCTAAGCCGTATAAAGAGGGACATTTTTTCATGCATCTATGGATTTAAAAATAAATAAATAAAAATTAAATGCATGAAGATGATATGAAAACATAGAGACACAGATCAACACAAAACCGTCTCAAAAAATTCAAAAAATGGAGAAATAACTTAAACGAATGGATCTTGATCATCTTTCAGATTTTAAAGAACTAATAATTTGGAGCCCATACTTTTTCCGGAAAAAGAAGTTTGCATGATCGACCATAAAATTTAAAATGGATGAACTGGTTTGTAATTCTAAATCAAATGAACTAAAAACCAAGAAAAGTAAGAAAATGCCTGCTTGGTTGTAGAAAAACCTTAAGAAGATAAGAAAAAAATCCCTGCAGCAAACAAAAATAGACAAAAAATCCCAAAAATGAAACTTTACCAGGAAAAAATTTGATCAACTCACCTTTGAGGAAGGGGTTTATGTTCCATTTCATCCAAAATCCACAAAATTTCACACCAAGTAAACAAGTTCCTGTAGAATTCACCTTGAATTGGAACCAAGGATCAGAGAATTTTTCAAAAAACAAATTTCAAAGTAGAATCTGAATATTCCATTTTCACCACAGGAAAATCTTCAAGCCATTTATCTCCATTTAACAAATTTTATTTTTTTTTCTTTTATCTAAAAAAATGGCCAAAACCCTGTGAAAACCACCCCCTACCATTGCTTAAACCCCAACTCTTATAGCATTGACCCCTGTAACCGGACCAATCGGGAGAAGCCAAACTAGGGACCGTCTATACAAGGTTGCGGAAAGGAACTGCCATGAGACCTATTCTTTTGCGGATATGGGATAGCTCCACGTGGCGAGAGATTGGAATCCTGTGGGTAAAATTCATTTACACCCTCGAGAAAAACGTTGGGTCAATAAGCGAGGGAATTTTCATTAAACTACGTGTTTTTTGAATTTGACGTAATTATTTGTGGGAAAGATTTGTTTGAAATTTTATTTCCCATTTTTAGGGTATGCGTTTTTAGTACCACGAAAAGTCCTATTTGTGAGGAGATATGTATAAATGTGTCAATTTACTTATTAACCCCTAAATCTCATATCTAACCAATCATATTTATGGTTCAACTACGACATAGCATCAACTTTAGAGCTAAACCCTTTTTCCTTTGAGGGTGTTTGCGCCACATTATTCTGGTAATAATACGTTTTTAAATAGTGTATTGATGAGAAATGTGTGATTAAAAATAAGAAAATATTTTTGGTCTGCGTGTAATATTATTTTATTGAAAAATGTGTAATTGAAATGATGTGAAATCATTGTTTTAGAATGTATTTTTTTGAAATAATATGGCTCAAACAAGCCCTTTACAAAAAAAAAAAAAAAAGCACACTCGCCACGTTTTGCATATTGAATGGACGACATTTAGTCCCTGTTTGTTTCCCATTATTTGCACATTAAAATGTAAAATATAACCATTATCCATCACATCAAACCATCATATTTGACTTTTTATCTCTTGTTTGGGGCCCGTAACAACTATATTTTTTATTTTCATTTTTACATTAATGTGTACCAAATAAGGCCTTAATAAAATCAAATTAAAATATTTTTCTGTATCTTATACAGTTATTCATTATTTTCGTATAATTTGGTGCATTAAATGCTGATTATTTATACGAGTAAAGATGGGAATATCCCTATGGGACAAATGAATAACAACTAGTATAGTTACAACTTATAAGCATGTGCGTGTAGATCTAGTTCCATTACTTTATTATTTTTTTTCCCATAAGTTGGCAAAGATCCATCTCCCACCTCCAACTAGATCCAAATCACAAATCAAACAAGGTGCAAGGGTATTTTTGTCATCAAACATTTACATATAGCTCTATTAAGCTTGAAATTTTAAAAAATATTTTTTCTCAAATTCATTTTTAATATCATATTTTATTGCGTTCATAACTTTTCAATCACGTATTTCATTAACTTTTATCAAAATTAATTAAAAATTTGATTTTTAGTCAAATCAAATAAGGTATAAGAAATATAGGAAAAAATGCATATGGGGCCCACAACCTACTATGTCCCTAACCTTACATTTTGACTACTTCAATCCTCTCGACCTTCATTTTTTTAACATTCACAACCTCCCATGTTTGTTCAACAAGAAGAGGACTTCTCTCTCTCTCTCTATTAAAGATACACGTTAAATCATTATTTTAATAAAAATTTGATTTTTTTTTTTTTTTCAAAAGGTAAAAATGTCTATCAGCACTCAATAAGCTACTAATAGATTGAGGACTTGCTATAATTCTAATATGTTGGGGACCTTTTGCCTAAAATATACGGCAAATGACTTACTTAAAAAGGTTGCACCCCAACCTTGAGAGCGCCCATCGCCTAGTTCCTGAAGTATCGTGAGGGAAGTAAATCGCGGGATGTGCCCCATTAGGTCAAGGAACAAAAGCTTGTCAGTACATTGTTGCCCACAAAGAGTCCAATTTTATATCTCAAGAATCGAACATTCACACTATGGCTGCCAACAAAGTTGAGACTATCTCCTTTCCATCCTTTGCACCATTGGGTTATGTCCCGAGGGCACAAATGACTTACTTGACATACCATGTGGTATAGTTATTACGGGAGTTACACAAGTGATAGAAAGTCAAATATAGTGACTTGATGTGATGGATAACGATCATATTTTTCACTTTTATGGCCAAAAATGAGAGTCAAACGAGATGCTTACACTCTTTGACATGACATGCAATTTTATCATTAAATTTAACAATATTTATTGAAATCGATGGCTTCAATTTTGACACCTCCAAGGGCGTCAAATTGGTTGTATACAACTAGCTTAACCCTATGTGGCATATGCATAGCCCTTTATTGGATCATATTTTAATCAAAGGGTATTTGTGAGTCATTTTGATGTAAAAATGCATTTTGGAATAATAAATTAATGAGAAATGTATGGTTGAAGAATAAGAAATTTTTTTTGATTTACGCGTAATATTATTTTAATGAAGAATGTGTGGTTGAAAAGAAGAGAGAGAAAAATACATTTTGAAAAAAATGAGTACCAAACGGGGCCTCAATATTATCCCACAGTTAAACTTTGAATAATTCTAAGTGTACATAATTTGGTTTACCTACTCTCACAAACATGTGGACCCCGTGTGAATAAAATAATCCCAACATGTGACCCCTACACCCCTATTGTGAGTGTATGTAAAATATTAGGTAAAAAAAATTAGGCACATCTAGCATGGTGCTTAAACTTTTTAAAATTTGAAAAAATAGGGAAAGGACAAACGGAGTGACGGCGATAAGGCGATGAAGCCAAGAAAGTAACGGCGTTAGAAACTGAGACAGTGCGTAGTGGCCCCACTCTTTGTCATATGAAGCTGTCAATGACGGCAACCAAACTACACTCTTGTTAATTTGCATTATTATTAAGGAAAATAACAGCAGAGGTTTCCAAACATTGATTTGTTTTGCGTTTTGGTCCCCATTCTTTGTTATGGAGCACTTAAATCTTCAATCATTCTAGTACTTGTACCCACAATGGACATTTTTAGAAAAAGAAAATAAATCCTATACGGGTCCTACTGCAACAATTAATAAGTGAGCTTAGATCCAATACCAATTTTTAAAGTTTTAAGAAAAAAGACTCAGCTGCATCATGCAAAGATGAGTCGTCCGCTATCTTGAGAGATGGGAAGACTAGTTCAACTTGACACGTCAAAGGAAACTGGTTAAATTTGAATCGTACATTCT